ATACTGCCATGCCTGGAAGAGCCGATGGACTTGGGTGTTCAGTAAATCCTGAGTGCCTGCCAGGTAGCAGGTGCTTTTGTAAGCATGAGGGACAGAGCTGTGCAACAAACAATAAAGCCCTCATGGAACTTACATTCTAGCCACAGGGAGACGGACACTAACCAAGCAGGTATATGTGATGGTAGTAAGAGCAGGGAAGGAAAATAAGGCAGGGTGAGGACGATAAATGGAGGCCAAGGGGCCCTTTACAAGAGTGGTCAGGAATGACGTCAGGAAATGTAGAAAAAGGGTGACATTTCAGCATATGCTTGAAGGAGAAGTGGCAGACATGCAGAATGGGGAGGAATACTCCAGGCAGAGGGAACAGCAAACATGCTGCCACAAGCCTGCATTTGGCTCATTGGAGGGACAGTGCCACCAAGCACCAGGAGACCCTGTGGCCAAAGCTCAGGGAGCCAGCACGGAGAGAAGGGCGATGATGTCTGAGAGGGAATGGAGCTGGATCTCCGGGGCATCAATGGCCATTCAAGGACTTTGCTTTCTACTCTGAGTGAATGCGGACAGCCCCTAGAAGGTTTTAGGCAGAAAAGTAACATGATACATGTTAAAACGACCACTCTAGTATCTGTTGAGAATGGAATGTAGGGTGCAAAGACAAAAGCACAGAGATCATTTGGGAAGTCCATGCAAGGAAGGTGGTAGCATGACCCATGTAGTCTCGGGGGAGGCAGTGGAAGTTGCTTGGAGCTGACATCTATTTTTAAAGTAGAAGTGATGGCATCTTGCTGATGGACTGTGGGACATGAGAAAAGAAGTGTTCAAGGATGAAGCCTTGGGATCTGACCTGAGAGGCTGAAAGAATAGACTTGATATTGACTCAAATGGAAAGATTCAGGAGGAGCAGATTTAGGGGGAGTGAGACTCGGATGGGAAGGAATCAAGATTCAGTTTTGGCCATGTTACATTCGAGGTACCTTTTAGGCATTCAGGAGGCAATGTCACAAAGGCAGTTGGAGGGGCCCTGGTCAGGACACAAATTTGCACGTTATGCACATATGGTATTCATGAGAATGGACACCATCACCTAGAACAGTCGCTTTCAACAGGGACAATGCTGTTCCTCAAGGAGTGTACTGGAAATTCGTGGGGATATTTTTAGTTGTCATCATGATTGGAGATGCTACTGATATTTAATAGGTGGGAGGACAAAGAACCTATATGTCCTCTGATGAATGTGACAAAAGAATTGCATAAAGAATTGTCCCATATCCCACACAATTTTCACATAATCCACAGACATTTACATGGGTGGAACACTTTATTATTATCTGAGCCTAGAGCATCCCTTCATTTTACATAAAAAACAATGTACCTCTTGCATAGCTTTAAGATACACTGAACTTTCCAAGAATAACAAGGGAAGACTGCAGTTTGGTTCAGAAATTTACCAAGAGTGTTCAACATCACTCTGTCAATATCCTTCATGGTATTTGAGTCATAGACACAACCACCATGAATCAGTCCACATCGTAGCTGTCATATCCACAGTGTTCTAAGGAGCATCTTAGATCCTTCAGCATGGTCACGTTGAGGCATACACAGATGGAAATATGGATTATTTAAGTATAAGATATTTTCCTTTTATAGATAGTGTGTATAGGTAGTTATACTATCTCTGATTTCATCTCAGTGTAGTAAAGGAGGTGTTGAGTGTGGCATAGCTAGAAAAGAGCTGAGGCTCAAGGACTGTGCCCTGTGCTCACCCAGTTTTGGCCATGTTACATTCGAGGTACAGGGCAGGAGAAGGGGCCAGCAGTGGAGATTCCAAGGTGCTGCCCAGGAGGGAGGAGACAGGCACTCCCAGACGCAGGGCCTAACCAATAGTGTTAACTCTGCTGACTGTCAGATAAGATGAGAGTGGAGAATTGACCCCCATCTAGTGGGGAGCTGGGGCAAAACTCTGACTGGAGAGTCCACATAATCCAGGGCAGGGGATCGGAATTACTGTTAAACATTTTGCAGATTTCATTTCTTAACCCCAGGAGATCCTACTATACCACCTTTGCTCTGTTCTTTTAGGTCAAGATACGCTGGTTCCCCTGGGACCTTCCTTAGAGCCTCTGTGCCAGCCCTGAGAGGCCACTAGCTTTGCTTACTGCCCATTTCAGTCCTCCTGAGCAAGGACACTGGACACCCAGCTGCCTTGCCCAGTGCGCTTCAGTCTATACCTTGCTGAGTCGGGACTCAAAAGCCAGTGAGGTTGAAGATTTAGAACTCTTCATGCCAGAAGAAGCTGTGGGGAGGGGCCGTGCTCGGTCGATCCCATGGCTCCCTGCTTTGGTGACTGGACTCCAGGGCTTGGCTGCACTCCTCATGTTTGTCAAGTGGGTCTATTTTTCTGTAGAAGAGAAGAGAAAAACATGTATGTCCACAACTTGAGGCTGCTGAGAGACATCACAGAGTATTACCCCCATATTCCACGTTCAGCATTGTTACCATAGAGAACTAGCACTTATAATTGGTCTGCAAATAGAATTCTGGTCCCAAGATAATACCTTTGCACTAGGCTAATTTTTACAACTTCACAACAGCTGTTACCAAACTATGAAAACATATGTTCTAACACTACTTTTCAGCAAATGATGGCTTCTTAATAGTCAGGGACACCTAACACCTAATAGTATTACTATTTACCCATATACTATGTATATATTTCCCCATATAAAATAAGTCATCTTGAGTCAAGACATACTATGTCCATAAGCCTTGCAGGTTTAGGACTAACAATGGAACAACCTACCTAATTTTTAATAGGTATCAATGAATTACTTGAAAAGTAGATTTTATAGAAGCACAGCTTCTTTTCTTCTTTTGGACAAAAATAGATATCATTTAAAATTAACAGAGCATATTTTAATCGGGTCAGACCTGACATTATTGGACAGAGTTACTGCCCTAACTAAAATATTTCATGAAAGCAAAATTGTTCAAAGTAGCGGAATGCAGTTAAAGACCTATGGGGGAAATCCACATATGAAGATGTGGAGGGCAGCCTGACTCCTACGATCAGCAATCAGCATTGTTATTCCTGAGTGAAGTGGCCAGCCATCTCTTAATCCCTCTGAGCCTGATTTTTCCATCAGTAGCAAAATGGGAGTGGATCAAATGCCTCTAGGGTCTCATCCAGATCCAATTCTAACTCTGCCTGTCCCCATGGACTCTAACGACCAAGAGCATGAGACAGATTACCAAAACCACAGATAATGCTCCATCCTTCACAGAAACAAATGGAAAAACATACTTTAAGAAACACCAATAGGTGACAGGTAATTCCAGTGACCACATACACAAAACCTGGGGGTCTAAGTAACTGCCCCTGGGGGATGGTGGCTGATGTTAAGCAGCCCTGGGCCTCCTTCCTTATCTCATCATCCTAGTACGTCCCCAGTACATCCCCAGTATGCCCTATTAGCAACCTATGAGAAAAACGACAGACGTCCTCCCCAGACTAGCTCAGGCTGTGACCTCCTCCTGTTCTTGTCTCCTTTTCTCGGCCAGAGGAGACCATTTCAACTGACAGTCAGCCAGGGCCACCCAGTTCCTATTTCTACTTAAAATGATTGGCTGGACAGTCCTGGAATGCATTCCACAGCACTGCTCTCCTAGCGGCCGTGTGAATGTGGCTGCAGGAAAAAATAATTCTTTAAAGACTTTGCAGTTTGTTTTCTGTAGTATTTCTGAGAAAAATTATTCATGATTTCAGTCATATGATTGGTTCAGAACCTTATTAGTTTCAGTTTGGTTCCAGGTATCATGATAATTTTTAAAATTTTGTATTAAAAAAAACAACTTACTTCTAGTATATTTTTCTGATGTCTAGCACCAATTGTTTTTCTTTCTTGACTCACAATTTTTAATGCTGGTTTCTATAGCGACAATGAAAGGATTCCTAGGCTAAAACCTATAGAGTAACTAATTTTATTAGGACACCCAATATAAAATAAACTAACATATCCTGCCTGAGTGATTCTTGAAGAGAATTACTATAGAAATTACTAAAGCACCATCCAGTAACATGTCAGTCTGACTCATAGAAATGACTTAAATAAAATATCTGTTTAATCAAGGAACTCTTTTTATGTTATCATTACAACTACTTAGAAATAACTATTACACGGCTTACTTTGACATAATTCTGCAAAGCATCCACATTTTCCAAAATCTGCCCAGGTTACCCCTAAAATGAAATGTTGCTTATTTATTCCACCAAAGAAAGATAAGAATATGAAGATGAAAAGCAGCAGGAAGAAGATGAAAATTTTCTTTGCCATCTTTTCTCCAATGTTTCAGGAGTCTAAGACTTTGGTTAAAAAAGATAAAAGCTATCTCAGTCCACATCTGAACTCCTCTCTTAACCTCTAGTAACAAATCGGACAATCTTCTGGAAGTGCACCTGAAAAATGTTCAACCATTTTTCAAAGACTAATGGGTTGCATGCTCTGAGGCAAAATTCTCAGATACTTCATTTGCATCATTACATCTTTTTGATTCTCTTAGAATCTTCTAAACCCTATGAAATTATTCCCAAATGAATGTACCCAGAGAACTTTTTCCATCTGGATCCCCTCTTGTTTACCATGCTATCTTTTCTTAGTTACCTTCACTCTTCTTTCCCATTATTTTCCCCAGACTAAGCCTTCTATTTTGTGCCCACCCATCAGCCCGAGTTTTCCATTTAAGCTCCGCCATCTTTCAGAATTCAAAATACACAGAAATGAAATAATTATTGTCCCACCCACTTGAACCAGAAAGAGAATCTTATAGGTAAGGACAGTGCTGGGATAGGAGGCCTGGGGTGGTAGTGGGCTCTGTAGGATCAGTGCTGCTCTCCAGGGTGGATGAGAGGGTAAGAGCTAGTGCTGAGGAGAATGCTCCGGTCAGGCTGAATACTAGCTTTGCACCCTGCTCCCCACTCTCTGTGTCTTAGAAGATTATTAAACATTGCACATCCTCACCCCAGCCTGGACTGGTGTCTTCCAAGTATTCTCCAAATCTTCTAGAAGCTGCACCTCTCCCTTGCTTTGCCCAGTCTTACCCTGGGCTCTTCTGGAACAGACTCAGAAAGGTTTGTCCTCAGCTGTCCACCCACAATACTCAGCCACTTTGGTCCTATTCTCTGTCCATTTCTAGGAAGGCCTCCTGACAGAAAGAGAGCAGGTGCTGCCTAGGCCCACTCATAACTTCCTGCAGACTTTGATGCAATCTGCTCCCCACCGCTTCTTCTACAACCCTCCTCTCAACCTTCACCCTGGCTGTCTGACTTAGGGAATCGGTAAATTAAATAAACACTGTAGTGACTAAGAGCGGTCACACTAACTCACTCTGAGCCTGGCAAAGCACTGTTACATGCTTTATGTGGGTGTCTCATTAAATCCTCACTAAGAGATAAATGTAACCCCAATTTACAGGAGGGGAAACCGCATTTGGCTCAGGGAGGTTAAGCAACTTGTTCAAATCACAAAGTTTTTGATAAAGCCAGGATTGACACTCAGTTTCAATTGGCTTTAAACACCAGAGATGAATATAGCCTTGCTGAATAATCTTGGCTCCCAGGGGAAAGCATGAGGGCTTCTGGATCCAATGTTCTTGGTCCAAATCCAGCTCCACTGTTTACTGTGTGAACTTGGGCATACTTTTTGAACCCTGTGATTCTCAACCTTTTCACCCAATAAAATGGAATTATTAATGCCTACTTTACAAAACTGTGAAGATGGAAGGAGAACATGGAGCTCGAGGGCTGGGCACACAGAAGGCCCTCAAAAATGTTAGCTCCCTCACCAACAAACACTGTTAACTGTTCAGTGGAGGGCTGTTCCACTTTACTAACTCAGTGATACATGGTGATTAAATCATTGTTCAGTGGCAGGAGCCAGACAGACGAACCAGATTCTTGTGCACAGAGCAGCCTATGTTCATTTGGAAACGTGAAAGAGGGGACTTAGGGAGGAAAATAAACACCAAAAAAAGATACTTTACAGTCATTAGAATCGGCCCCAGCCTTAATACATCCTAGCTGCTGAAAGATAAACACAGGTGTGAATGCTAATACTCTCGTAATAGATATGAATTAGTAATAGAAAATTAGTTTATGAGTTCTGACCAAGTCCAAGACAATGAAAAAGAAAAGTTTTCAATGATTAATTCCCTGGTTTCTGAAAATCCTCCTAAACCATCTCAAAGGATCAAACTTGTCAAGGTATTACAGTTAAATCTAGGAACTCACTTCCATAGGGGTGAGGAGAGGGTCTTTGCAGGGGTGTTTTCTTTCAATTTTTCAAATATTTTATTTTCTTACCAAGCTTCTTTCCTCTCCAGAATAGTGTAAGAGTTACATTTAAACTGCAACTCATAAACTGCATGCATAAAATAGAAAAGAAAGAGAGGGAGAGAAGGGGGGTAGAGGGAACAGCTATTTTAGGAATACAATGAGGTGTTTGGGCTCTGGGTAGAGTCAGAGTCCCTGTGTAGGTCTCCTGCTCTTTCAAAACATGTTACTTTGCTACTTAATTAATCGCTGCCTTCAGAGCCTGTGTTGGATGGGTTGTTTTGAGGCCTACGCTTTATTACCCTTTTAAGGCAAGAAAACAGAAAGGTGACTGGGAAACACTTCTGGGCCATCGTGAAATGAGTCCCTGGAAGTGGGAGAGGGCACTGAAGTCTCAACTACAAGTACAATAAGTGCCAGGAAGCGGAAAGCTAAAGCATTCAAGTCAGAGAACTAACAAAATAAGAATGTTCACATAGCTCAATTACCAGGGGACTCAG